TCCAAACCCCGGCCCCCATTGCTCACCCTCGGGAAAGACGGCGGGGCTGGGAGGCGGCGGGAGCGGGCAGGGCAGCACCTACCACTGCCTCTCGTCCCTGCGGAGCCGGGGACAGGGTGGGAGACAATCACAACTAAAATGTTTGGGAATACACAGTCTCCTTCCGCCCTACAGTTTCGGCCTCCACAAGAGAGCGCGAACCGAGGAAGTAGGGCTTTTGTTGTTGACATCTGACCTATGACAGTGTCCCTGATGGGGATGAGAGCAGGGGAGTCCGGGAAGCGACCGCGCACCCTGACATCCACCTGCAGAAGGAGTATCCTATGGCTGCTCCATTTCCACCTCCTTTCCCTTAAAAGAGAGACTGAAGGAAACAGGAAGAATGATCGCCCGCATCGGTCGACCTCCCCACGACCAGTCCAGAAGGGTGAGCGAAGTCGCTCGCATAAGGTCAGCCCCTTGCCGGGCAAAGAGCCCCGGAGGAGCAGCCCGGGGGCCTCCGCCGGGAGCGGCTCGGCCTCAAGCAGCGGCCGGTCACGCCGTCCCGCCACCGGCTCTCGGCAGCCATCACCATGCATCCAAGTCACCTTCTGTCCACCCGACACGGGAGCGCTCCCCGATAGCGGGCCCCTATCGTCAAAGGCGAAATATTCCCTGGGCGCCCACCCGAGTGTCCTGCAGAGGGCAGAGGCTGCTCGCTTTCCGCAGCCCGTTCCGCGGGCTATTGACCAAGGACTTTTAAATCCATACCCGGCTTCAACATTTTACCCGTCAGCACGTCTGCGGTCACAAAACACTTCTTCTTTCTGTCACTTCTCTTCGAAACTATTGATAAGATCATTTAGCTGAATCTGTTCAGGATGAGTGTAATATTGACTAGAAGTTAGAAAAGATGATTAAATCTAATAAGCCTAGAAACTATCGTGAACGGGGTGGGGGGGAGGAGAAGAGCAGGATATCGCACTTAAGAAACTGAGCCAGCCAAAAAGGACCTGAACACTCCACCGCGTATGCGAACACTGCCCTGTTGGATGTCACTTGCCAGCGCGCAAGTCCCGCGGGTGCCCAGCTGGGACCCCTCCGGGAAAAACCGACCGGGTCGTTACACACACGGAGCCGCAGCCGCCCATAACGTGAGAGCCCCGGCCCTGTCGGCTCGGGGCCGTCGCCGCAGGGGCCGGGGCCCGGCTCGGCCCGGGGGTGCGCAGCCCCGCTGGGCAGCCGCATTCTTCCTCCTGCAAATGGTACTACCATCATTAAGCCCCGCCTTTTTGTTTTTCTTTTTTCTTTTTCTCTCTCCTTTTTTTCTTTTTCTTTCTCTCTCTCTTTTTTTTTCCTTTTTTTTTTTCTTTTTTTTTTTTTTTTTTAAGAGTTAGACCTTAAATTATCAAGGAGACCGAGAAGAATCGAGTCTCTTCTCCTCCATGCCTTCCGCCAGAATATGCAACCAACTTGAGGAGCAGATCTACCCACCAGCATCAAAGGCAGGACACCCCTACTCGCACAGAAATCAATGCTCCAAAACACACGGCTGAGGTTCATCTGCGGAGAGACACAATGAACACAGCTCCCGAGGCTCTCCTTCTAGACCCTGAAAGTTATGAGCATGGAACCTCTCAGTATAGGCATCAAATTTATTCCAAAAATTCCATGAAATATAAAGGAATGGCGGTGCTTTTACACAGAACTCAACTCAGTATAAGTACTGGGGTCTTCTCCCTTCAAATCTTAAGAACTATGCAAATCTGTGCTATCTTTAAAAATAAAATAACGATATTTCAATAATTAGAAGAAACTATGAAGGTATTGTGCATTTCTGTTTTATGTAGATAATAAAATATTACTTTAACATAAATATATAAGGATCTCTGCGTTTTTATTTTTCCCCACAAGCACATCCAAATGTACCAAAACAAAGTATTTTTAAAGAGACTGAACCAAAAAAAATTACATCCCATATAGATTTTGTTCACCTACTCATTTAAAGCTACAGAAAAACAGTTTCCAGAACCTGTTTGCTTTAAAAGAAATAAATATACATTGAGGCAGGCCACTTAAAAATGATATGAAAATATTTCCCTGGGTAGCATTTAAAAAAAAAAAAAAAAGAAAAATAGACAAAGAAAACATTGAAACTATTTCTGCATTTCAAAGGACAAATATTAAACATATATACATAGTGGTAAGGTTTGCGTGGTAACTTTTTTTTTAGTAAACCTATTTGGAGTTTGAGGTTTTTTCAAACATCCTCTTGACTCCGTTTTCTGACCTTACGCACATATTAATAAGTGTCTGAAAGTTCATTTCCTCCCTTTACCACTGGATCTGCCCTGATCTGATTCACTTCACTAGGTGCTAGTCCTCAACACTTTAAATAACAAGCAGCTCAACAACAACAACAACAAAAAAAAAAAAAAAAAAAAAAAAAAAAAAAAAAAAAAAAAAAAAAAAAAAAAAAAAAAAAAAAAAAAAAAAAAAAAAAAAAAAAAAAAAAAAAAAAAAAAAAAAAGAAAAAAAAAGAAAGAAAGAAAGAAAAGAGAAAAGCTTGGTGCCCGTATCTTTGTAACAATTGTTGGAAAACCAGGAAAAAGGCTAATGCATGTGTGCCTCTTAGAAATCATCATCTGTCTTACCAAGAAGAAAAAGAGAAAGAAAGCAAGAAAGAGAGAAAGAAAGAAGGAAAGAAAACCCAATGTCACAGGCGTTTTGAAAGACAATGAGAAACATATTCTAAAGCCTTAGCTACTGAATGCAATATTTATAGGAGAGTTCTGCGAGAGAATGCTTTACTGTTTTTTCTCCATAATTGTCCAACACTCAACTAAGTAAACTTTTAGATTATAAAAATGCTTTGTCTCTATAGCACCCATTTGTGCTGACTAAACGATCCCTTTATGAATTTATAACTATCATAGTTTAAAGTTCCTCTAATGTATATGCATAGCTGTGTGTGTGCATAAGTACACAAACACGCACGCAGACACACGCACATACATGCGCTGCTCCAAGGTCCCGCTCCTCTGCTTCCCTTCAGAGCTTTTTGTTTTCCTTTTTTTTCCTTTTTTTTTTCCTTTTGTCCCCGTGGGTTTTTCTCTTTTTTTTTTTTTTTGGGGGAAGCTAACCATTTCCCATTAAGATAATGTCACGAAATGCACTTTAAAACTATTAACAAAGGGGTGGAAAAAAACACGGATTGAAAAATGGCATTTTTTTTCCCCACTTCATTTCATTCCCCAGTGAAAGACACAAGGCTGCCCAAGTTATAACTGGTCCTTTCCTTCAATAAATTATACCACAATCTGACCAAAGGACAAGGGGAGGATGGGGAGGGAGAAGGGCTGGATACGAATAGAAAATAAAATAAATACGAAAATTAAAAGTGGGAAAGAAACGCACACGGTCTCTGCGGAGAGGAGGGGGCAGCGTGTGTTTACAGGCAGTTGTAAGCACCTGACCCCCACCTCGGGCCCAGCAGCTCCTCAGGCTCTCCCTGGCTCTGCCTTAATGCGAAACTGCTCAATGAAAGAAAGTTTGGAGGCTGATATCAGCCCCGGTTACCCGGGCTGTGAGACTGGGGATGCCAAAGGCACGAACGCACGGGAGCTGCGGGGGGAGGAGGGGAAGGAAAGGGCGCTGAGGGGGCGGTGATGGGGAAACGAAATAATCCCCTTTCCCTCTCAAGGAAGTGCCACTTTCTCTGGGAAAACCCTGGAAACATGTAGTTCCCTCTCTGCCTTCCCCACACTGGGCCTTGATCATCCACACTGACACAATCTGGAAGGATTGCACATATTTTTTTTACTCCCCTTCTGGCTGCGCCTCGGCCCCTGGACACACTGCCTGAAAATGAAGTTTACTTTGTTGATTTGCATTTATTCTCCCTTCTCCAAACTCGACTCTTGCCACTGAAGGCATATATTAAGCAATTACGAGAGTCGCGTCTCTGGAGAACAGAAGCTGAGGTGCAAATATATCTGTTTATATAGAAATTACATATGTGTATATATGTAAGTCTACGCACACATCACATGCATATGCATACATACATACACATATACTAATTCTTTTTGCCTCAGTAAAAGGAGAAAATAAGCGTTACACGTATTTAAGAAGACTTGTTTATAACAAAAGTTCACATATACACATAAAGCAAAGGCTAAAACACATTAACATATCGTAGATCGGTCACTGGTTGACTAATGCTCACCGTGGAAAATGCAAGTCATTTGCAAAATTAAGGTCGGAAAGGAAGGGGAAAAAAAGAAAAAATAAAGAGTTTGTTTATGTAAACTTCGATTTTCTTGCAGTGCAAATTGGTAAGGTTAAATACTGTCTACATCAAAAGGGATAGCTTTTCTGTTCTCTTCCTTTTTTTTTTTTTCCCCATATATTCATATAGGGGATCCACAGAAAATAAACACAGCAGCATGTGCCAACACCGAGCGACATTCCACAATGCAGTCTGCCTTTGTGTGGCGGAAGGGGGCTGCAGAGGGGACTCGAGGTGGCTGCATCCCCCCTTCCCCTCCGCCCCTCCCCGGCAGGGCAGCGCCGTATGTTTTTGCCAGCAAGCGAGAGTTTTGTGCGAACCGCTTCGCCTTGCGCCTGCCCTGCCGGTGCCTGCCCCTGCCCTGCCTGTACCTGCCGCTGCCCTGCCGGTACCTGCCGCTGCCCTGCCGGTGCCCCGCCTGCCTGCCCGTGCGCGGTACTCACTCCACTCCGGTGCACGGGCACTCGTCTGGAAAGGTCAAAACACAGCATCGCACCTGCTACCGTCTAAGGGGACAGTGTGGTGCAGGTGCTTTGTCTGTCTGTCTGTCTGTCCGCTGTGATTGGCGCTCGCCCTCTCGCTCGCTCGCTTTTTGTTTTCTTTTCTATTTTTTCGCGTTTTTTGTTTGGGTTTCTTTTTTTTGATTTTTTGTCTTTTTTAAAGATAGGAGAAAATAAAATAATCAAAAAAAAAAAAAGAAAAACAACAACAACAACAAAAAAGGAGGACAATCAAAAGTTGGGGGAAGGAGAAGAGGAGGAGGAGAGGAGGAGGAGGAGGAGGAGGGGCCGGGCGCCCCCGCCGCGAGTTCACTGCACGGGGGTCTGCACCCCGTGGTGCGGCGGCGTGTCCCTGCTGGCCCCGTACACGTCCTCGGCGCCCGGCAGCGTCCCTCCCGGGGGAGTCATGCGCTTCTCTTTCTGTCTCCTGTTACAAAACCACACTCTCACCACCTCCTTCTCCAGCTGTAGGCTGTCCGCGAGCGAGGTGATCTCCTGGGCGGAGGGCTTGGGGCACTTGAGGAAGTGGCTCTCCAGCGCGCCCTTGACGCTCACCTCGATGGAGGTGCGCTTTTTCCGCTTGCGGCCCTGCGCCGCGATCTTGTCTATGCTGGTGGGGCTGCCCGAGGAGGAGTCCGCTTCCTCCAACCACTTGTTCAACAAAGGCTTCAGCTTGCACATGTTCTTGAAGCTGAGCTGCAGGGCCTCGAAGCGGCAGATGGTGGTCTGCGAGAAGACGTTGCCGTAGAGGGTGCCCAGCGCCAGCCCCACGTCCGCTTGGGTAAATCCCAGTTTGATGCGCCGCTGCTTGAACTGCTTGGCGAACTGCTCCAGGTCGTCCGAGGTCGGCGTGTCCTCGTCGGAGTGCGGGTCGTGGTGCGGTGGCGGCCCGGGGGGCGCGGCGGCGGCGGCGGACGGCGCCGGCCCGGCCGCCCCGGGGTGGGGGCCGTGGGGCGGCGGCGGGTGCTCGGGGCCGTGGTGCGGCGGCCCCGGCGGCGGCTCCTCGTGGGCGTCGCGCAGGCCGTGGTGGTGCAGCCCGGGCTGCCCGGCGCCGAGCATCCCGTTGACGCTGAAGCCGGGCGGCTGCGAGTAGAGCAGCCCCGCCTGCGCGCCGTTGGCCGCGGCCATGCCGGGCGGCAGGTGCGCCGCGCCGCCCGCCCGCCACGCCGCCGCCGCCGCCGCCGCCGCCGCCGCCGCGTGGTGCCCTCCGCCGCCGCCGCCGTGGTGCACCAGGTGCGGCGCCCGCCCCGGCGGCGGGTGCTGCGGCGGCGGCGGCAGCTCGTCGCCGCGCCCGCCCGCCTGCACCACCGCCGGCTTGATGTCGGGCTGGCCCAGCGCGCCCGCCGACCAGGGCGCCTCGCCGCCGCCGCCGCCGCCGCCGCCCCCGCCGCCGCCGCCGCCGCCGCCACCGCCGGGGCCGCCGTGGGACAGCGCCGCGATCCACTGGTGAGCGTGGCTCAGCGGGTGCCCGTTGCTCTGCAGCGCGTAGTCCGCCTGCACCAGGGCGCCGGCGTCGCGGTAGCCGCCGCCGGGCTGCATGCCGCCGGGCGGCTCGGCGTGCACCATGGGGGAGCCGGAGGCGAGCAGGCTGTAGTGGTTGGAGGCTGCGGTCGCCATGACTCGCCGAGCCGCACTGATCGCGCCGGTTAAAGGCGCCGCGCATTTGACAGCTACTTTTTCGCCTCGGGCGCCGCGCGGCGCCCGCGCCCCCCCGGCCCGCGCGGCGGGGCCCACTGCGAAGGCACGCGCGGCCGCCCCGCCCCGCCGCCGCGCGCCATTGGCTCCCCGCGCCCTGACGGACGCGCCGCTCCCGCCGACCGCCGCCGCCGCCGCGCGCCATTGGCGCGGCCCGCCCGCGGGACCACGCCCCCGGCCACGCCCCCGACACGCCCCCCGGAGCCCAACTCCGAGGGGGAACGGGGCGCGGGGAGCGGGGCCGGGGGCGGGGGGAGCGCACCGAGGGCAGGGCAGGGGGCGCGCCGCCACGGCCCCGCCCCGCCCCGCCCTGCCGGCGGGAGGATGCTGCCGCCGCCGCCGGTCCGCCCGCCGGCTCCTGTTGCTCTCACCCCACCGCGGGTCTCTGCGCGGAGCGCGGCCCCGCCGCGCCGCCCCGGAGCGGGCGGCGCGGATGCGGGGGGGTACCCGCTTGCCCGCCCCCAACTTTCTCAGCGCCGCCTCGGAGCCAGCCACTCCGGAGGGGCCGGGGAGCGCCGCGCCCCCGGGGACGGGGAGCCGGGACAGGGCGGCCCCCTCCCTGCCCTCCGGCCCTGTCCTCCCGGCACCCAGCGCTCGCCGGAGCGCCCCGCTTCTCCGGGGGTATCGAGGCTTCGCACCTCGGGGACTGCGGTGGAGGGTATTGTTCTGCTTGTCCCGTCCCTCGGGGACGGGATGCCTGCGGGACCGCCTCGGCGGCGCTGGCGACTCTGCGTTGGTGCGGAAGACTGGGTGTGAATGGGTGGTGGAAAAAGCAAAAAAAATTAGGAAAAAAGAAGGGGATAGAGGAAAAAGGAAAAAAAAAAAAAAAAAAAAAAAAAAAAAAAAAAAAAAAAAAAAAAAAAAAAAAAAAAAAAAAAAAAAAAAAAAAAAAAAAAAAAAAGAAGTTGCGGCCCGGACAGGAAGTAAAGAGACCCTGGAACTGGATCCGGATTTCCTAGGAATGAGCAGTGCCCGGCTGGCCGCCGCGAAAAGAGTTCGCTGCCCATTTTTGAGCTGAAAGCCATAGCTTTGTCTCGAAAATAAACTGCTCACGGGGGTAGGTGCGCGTCGCAGGCTCCCGCTATCTTCATCGAAATAACACAATAGGGCGGACCGGGGAATTTATTACTACTAACAAGAAACAGCTTTCTTCTGCGAGTTGTTTATAAATCATCGTATTTAACGTGAGCACTGGAAAGGCTCCTTGCCTGGAAATATTCCTCTGCGTGGGGGTGTGGAGGAGCGGGGGGATGGGCTCCTGCACATAAACATATACACAGCAGCAGCATAAACAGGATATCCAGTGCCCTGAGACAAGGGGCGCAGCAGGAGTTACCTCGTTTCGTTAGTTTAGCGGCGTATCAAGAGCTCCTTCTGCCGGGGGTAGGGAGGGAAAGGAAGGAGGGAGGAGAGGAGGAGAGGGGCACAAACTTTGTCCATGAAAGAGTGAAGATTCTTCCTAAGGGTTTTATCCCCCCCCCCGCCCCCGCTTTATTCGAGGTGCAGGCGAAAGGAAGAACAATACTGCCTGTTCTGCGAGTGTCGCGGAGAAGGAAGTCAGTGCCTCTGAAGTGAAGCTCTGCCTTTTGTTTCCCGTGTGTAAACAACTGGGCACCCAGGAATTTTATAATTTGATGCTCATTTTCTCGTCTCTCTCCTCCCAATTAGGTGTAGACCAGTGAGTTGAAACAAAACAACAGGGCAAGTCCACAGCAGGCTTCTGCCAAGGCATCGCGGGGACCGTCCTGGAAGAGCCACCCCGCTCTCTGCGTCTGGGCCAGCCCTCCCGCCTCGCTCCTGGGGCCGCCAGGGCTCTGCCAGGGGCGGTTTTCCTGCAAGCCCGCCTCCAGGTCTGCTGCCAAAAGTTCGTGCGTGGACGAGACACGAGGGGCCATGCCACGCGTCATTTTCAGAGCGAGGTTTTCACGTGGGTGCCTTCAGCGTGCAGTGCTCCTCCAGCAAGGACCTACCCCGGTGGTCGTCCGAGAGACCTCCCTTGTGCCCCAGCCCCACGGCGTGTCCCACGCACCACTGGTCCCCGTGGAGTGCCGGCGGCACCGCTCTTCCCGGGGCTCGCCGCGACGAGGAGACGGGACACGGGTGTCAGCGAGATCCAACCAATACTTTTTTTTTTTTTTTTTTTTTTTTTTCTGAGGGGAAAACCCCTCCAGCTTTGCCCCGGTCGTGCGTTTCCTGACCCCCCTTTCCTTCCTCCCCGGCCCTCTGTCCCGCCTGGCCTCCTGGCAGGCGATGCCTATGGTCAGAGACCTGCGTGCCTCTCACCCCCACCGCCCCAGCGGCGGATCTCACGGGCTAACGGTAATCACAGTTACCGAAGTAGCGCTACGGCCTTAGGAGGCGGACAAAACCCCAGCCCCCCGGCAGAGCCCCCCGCCGTCCCTCCTGTCCCCTCCCCGGCGGAGCGCACGCCTATGGAGACGCAGCTGGGAGCAGCGAGGAGCGCGGCCGGTGCATTCAGAGCCGCCGCAGACTCCTCCTCCTCGTCCTCCCCATCATTGTTAGCTCTGTCATTAATACCGCTCCTTAAGCATCCTCCGCTCCCGTCTCCCCCCGTGGAGCGGAGCGCCGGGGAGCGGGAAGCGAGCGCCCGACCGCCGCTCTTGCCGCCGCGCCGCTGCCCGCCGCGGGCTCCGGCTCCGGCCGCCGCTCAGGTCCGGGCCGCTCGGGATGTAAAAGAGACAGTCATGTGGCCCCTTTCTGGCGGAGCTGACCCCGCGGGATTAAAGGTCTCACCAGCCTTTCTTTCCTTTTCTCTGCTCGTATAAAAGCAGGTTGAAGGTGATGCGGTGTCTTGGGCAGACACTGCAGTGTTTTGATTCAGCTCAGCCCTTTTCACTGTTCAAAGCAGCTGTTCAAATACTAGGGCTGCTTACTTTGACGTGACGGAGATTTTCAAACAACCCCAAAAGCTTTGAACTGACAGGCCTCCTTGATATCTCCTTCATTGCAGTGCAGCTACTCGAGAATATTCGCTATAAAATACATAGAGCGCCACTTAACTGGAGCTGACTCCTGGCTGGGAGGCGAGGTGCTGCATACACATCAGGTGCATGCAGAAGGACGCGGGCGGGTTGCGGGAGCCCTCCGGCCGCCCCCTGCCAGCCTCCCCATCTCCCCACTTGGGGGTCTCCTGCCCACCGCCCGCCCCCAGCTGCCGCGGCGGGCTCCGACTGACGAGATGTTGGGCTCCCTGGTGTTTCAACTCCGTGCGTGCCGGAGAGAAAGCTGCATTTCCAGCAGGAAAACAAGAGCACAGCTCGTTCCCAGCGAGCCTCGGCTTCCAGCCGCCGGTCGTCAGCCTCCCCGGCTCCTGGGGCCGGGGGAGCACTCCCCAAACGCACGCTCCTGCCTGCGTTTGGATGTGCGGTTGTAGGGTGGGGAATATGTGTTTGCATATGCCTGTCGTGTTTAGAGGTGAAAAGCTTTTTTTTTGAACTCTGGTCTCCAAACCTTGAGACAGACTCACGCAGCTAAAAGGAAAGGAGGAGGGGGAGAAATCCCCGCGCCTCCTTTCCGCGTCTCTATTATCTTCCCATTAGATGTTGTTTTAGGAGGAAATGTGCCAGGAGTGCAAAGACGCGGCGAGTCGCTCAGAGAATTGCTGGGTGCAATAAACGTGAGACTCCTGGTGCTCGCTTTAAAGGCCAACTTGGAAGATTTGTGCTTATTGCTGGGGCGCATTTAATGCACCTTTTGTGAGATGGGATTGTTTTGATCTCTGCTTCCTTTTTAACCTTTCTCTATGAGGTATTCAAGCCTGCGCTTTCGTGTGGCTCTTTCCAGTGTTGCTCCAAGGAGTCTGATTCGGCGGAGAGACCCAAGACATGAATGAAACTTCAACTTTAAGGGCCTGCGGAGAGACAAAACTGAGGCCGGGGCTTCACAAGTGATTGCTTTAAAAAAATCCAATCTACACAAAGAGGCAGCTGGCTGCTTTAATGAAAACTGCTTAAAGCGGCAAGAACCGCAGCCTCAGGGATGTATTTATAAGATGACTCAAAAGCTACACTTTCAAGTTGCTTCTCCTCGGGGTAGATATAACAAACACATTTAACTAAGAAATCTAAACAAAAAGGACAGAAATTGATAACTTTGATTGCACAAGCTCAAATTACCCATTGAAATTAAAATCCACCATCTAAATAGATTTCTCCACCTATCTCTAGAGAAAAGAAAATCTCCCTCCCTGCGTATGTAGATATACACACGTAATATTATATATATTTTCGCCCTGATAGAATACTGATTATCCCAGAAGATAGAGAGCAGAAAGGTGTAGAATAAAAAAAAAAAAAAAAAAAAAAAAAAAAAAAAAAAAAAAAAAAAAAAAAAAAAAAAAAAAAAAAAAAAAAAAAAGGAAAAAAGTTCCCGTAAAGTTTGTATTAATGCTCATTTCCAACATTCCCCGCAACTCTATTCTTCCAGCCTCTTCATTCTTCTGAGACTCTGCTATTTTATCAGCATCACTGTTTAAACTAGTGGGATATAATGTTCTAAGTTCGGTATTTGAAATTAAATTATTTGAATTCACGGATATTAATCTTTTCCCTTCATCCTCCGGTTCTGAATCTTGTCATTAAAAATGATCCACCCTTTGTAGTCCGCAAGTGAATATTTTATAGACAGATACCGCTATGAAGACTTCTAACACAACGTCAACCAGTCAGACTTAGCTGTTGCAGGGATTACTTTGAGTAATTTATCAAAGGCAGGCTGCTAAATTTTGAGTGGTGAATATGAGGCCTTGGGGGAAAAAGAAGCAGAAGAAGAAAAAAAAAAAAAGAAAAAGACGAATTCCATCACTCCGTGAGATAAATTCTGGTTGGAGTTAATACAGCTTGTTTATTGAATTCTCAGAGACAGACCCAGATGCGATTGGTGCAGCGGAGTTTGCAATTTAGTGTTCAAAAGCCTGGCTGGGAAATGACCGCCCAGCGCTGGAGCTGGAGGGGCGTTTCTGTTGGCGTGAAAAGCAGGTGAATTGGAAG